CTCTAATAAAAAATTAGAAACATTGAGAATTAAATTGTTTTTTTTCTTTGTAGAAAATTTACCAAGAGTAGTTTGAACACTGTTTGCTACCTTCTTGTCATAGAAGTTACAACAGGGAGTGAGCATCTTTTCTATGCCTTGGTAAATTGCCATATTCCTGTCTAGGTTTTCATCAACTTCTAACATTTTATCCTTTGCACTTTCAATGTCATGAAATATCTCCGAGAATTTCTTGAATGTGAAATTTTTTGCTGGCGTCACTTCCTCTAGGACATCTTCAACCTTTTCGTCACAACCACATTTCTCATTTATGTCAGTAAGTTCATCTTCACCAAGTTCTCTGGCTGTGTATGTAGTCTATCCAGTGGCAGCACTGTAGCATTCCTACCGTCATCTGTTTCTCCTATAACTCTACTGATATTCTATTAGAATTTCACTTTACTGCACTTTTCATTTTTGTTGCCCAATTTTCTCTTTCATTTATCCAGTTATGCCACATGGGTTTATCGCCGAGAGATAAGGAGGCAACACAATTACATGCTTTGCTGTCTGCGTGTAAACTCAGTCACTGATACACAGTGACCAGCCACCTGCAGTCTGTGAAAGAAGTGACATGATTGGTCACTGATCATGCTGCATGTGTGTTATTTACATAGGGATTTGTGGACTGAAGAACTACTAGTGAAGTTTGTACCTTATGCAATTATTCACAGTTAATATACCACTGTATGTGAATGGTGATGTTGGGGGGTGGATGTTATTTAACTAAACTTCAATAACTGGAATTCCTGCATATCAGAACCATGCAAAGCAAGGACTATTCATTTATTTATTTGAGACAGGGTCTAACTATGTTGCCCAGCCTGGAGTGCAGTGGCTATTTGTAGGCATAATCGTAGCACACTGCACCTTTGAACTCCTGGACTCTAGCAATCCTCCCGTTTCAGCCTCCTGAGTAGCTGGGACTACAGGTGCATGCCACTGCGCCTAGCTAGTAAGGACTATTTATACTCAGTGGGTTGAGACTTAGTGTCCCTCAAATACTCCAAAAGATGTTCAGATGAAAAAAGCAAGCTTGGAGATCCCAAGGCTAAGAATAGGCATCCAAGATTCCGTTAAAGAGGGACTCTGTAGTCTGATTCAGCAGAGGACAGTAATGATTTAGATCTATGCAGCACATTTCATCTAAGGAACTCAAAGCATATCCCATTTATTATCTAATTCAGCCCTTATGGCAGGGAGGTAGGGAGCTGGCACTGACATACTCATCTTATGGGCAGAGAAACTGAGGTGCAAAGAAGTTAAATATAGCTTTAAGAAGAAACTGTTCTGAATGTCTTGGATAAGTAGACTCTTTCTCCAGCTATACCAGGTTCTTTTTTTTTTTTTTTTCCAACATCACTGACGATAACTATACCAGACTCTATAGTCTGTCTTGATCCTATGGAGAAGATTCATAAGGACCCTCTATGTGTGACTTGCCCTGATTCACAGCTTGCCATCTATCTGCCCACCAAATTGTACCTGAGGTTCTCAGTGATGCAGAGATGAACTAAGGTCTTCCCATCCATTAGTCATGTGTCTTTACAATGGCTTTTGTTGTCTTTTATTATAAAAACCATGAGAAAAATTCCAATTCCCCCCACCCCATCCTCCAAGAAACAGAAACATCTATTTAGTACCAAGTATATGTATAGCATTATGACAAGGTAGTGGTTCTAGATAAAGATAACTAAGATAGGTTGGGCGTGGTGGCCCACGCCTGTAATCCTAGC